ATCGACCAATTTGGTACCTACTCTCAAAACCCTCTCAAGTTCCATTTTGTCCCGAACAAGGCGGGGCGGGCAAGCCTGGAAGCAGTATTCCAGATGGGGCCGGACGAAAGCTGAGAACAGCTTCACAAATATGTCGACAGTTAAGACCCCGAACGAACGGCGTATTAACCGCAACATTCTGAAACCCCTACTAGCGGCCTTCTTCCAGTTGTCACCAGAATGCAGACGAGGAATGGACGACACCTAGGTCTACCTGATTGGAGACAAGGGGAGTTCGACCCCACCGAGTACGTAGCTCGAAGGCGGGAAAGTTGCTCCTATACGAAGGACGGAACACTTAGCTTGGTTTATGGGCTGTAGCCACAAAGTCGACCAGTCCCAGAGTCTGTCCAGTGCATGCTGTATGGCCTCAGAACCTCCAGGAACGTTTACAACATTCCATAGCTTAATGCCATCAGCAAACAATAGGAATGATGCCCCAAGCTCTCCAGGGAGATCGTTTATGTAGATAGAGAACAGCATCGGTCCAAGACCGACCACTGTGGGACACCGTTAAGGACCGCTTGCTTAAAGGATAAGCTACGACTCACACGTACACATTGCTCTCTTCCCTGCAAGAACGCAGATACCCAGTGAAGGGCGCAGCCAGACAAGCCGTAGGACCTCAGCTTTTGTGATAGCCTCAAGTGGGGTACCTTATCAAATGCTTTCGAGAAGTCTACAAAAAGCACATCCACCACGTGGCCATTGTCTACTGCCTCGGCCCAAGCTTCACGAGCAACCAACTAATTCGTCAAACACGAAAATCTCTTCCTGAATCCATGTTGTGCACTACTGAGTAGATTAAATCTGTTCAGGTGACATTCCAACGAACCTCTCACAGCTTTTCAAGCTGTTTGACCACGACGCTAGTCAGACTAACTGGCCTATAATTGTCTGACAGACTCCTGTCGCCATTTTTGAAGATAGGACAGATGACAGCGTCCTTCCATTCGGAAGGTAATGTACAGCTGTCAAGTAATTGCTGAAACACCGTCGTCAGCGGTCCACTCAGTTCCACCGCCAACTCATGCAGAAGCTTCGGGTGAATTGAATCAGGTCCAGCTGCATTGTAAGGGTTCAGTTCTTGCAGCAGTTTAAGGCCTTGCGTTTCCACCACAGTGAACTAAGCTAAATATGAACCCTCAGGCACTCTGGGGACAAGTTCAACGCTAGTCAACGCGGCCTCACATACAAAAGCCCCTGCAAACTGTTCCCCAAGTACACGAGCCTTGTCTGAGTCCGCATATGCACGAGTTCCATCGGCCCGCATCAAAGTTGGGATTGCCGAAGTTGAACCACAGCGCCTCTTAACGTAGGCGAAAGCTTCTTCGGATTTTCCGAAGCTCTATCAGCCAATTCCTTTTCGTACACCAGCCGAGCATTCCTTAGGTGTTGTTTACACCTATTTCTAGCCTCGCGGTATCTGTCATAGGTGCTAGTTGATGGAGCCGCATGGTAAGTCCTCCATCACCTAGAACCCTTCTGGAGCAGGTGCTTGCCAGTATTATCTATCCACGGCGGCCGCGTTCGGGTCTCCTTTCTCCTGGCAAGCGGGATGTAGGGAGTAGACAATTCCGTGAGATAAGATTTAAATTTATCCCAAGGCCGCCTGAACCGCATCAACCACCGAGATTTCGCAACACAACTCAGAAGCGTTGCTACACATTGCCTGATAGCACGCCGTATGCTTGGAAATCGCTCAGCAATGCTCTGGTGACACCTGGTCAGAGTACACCTAAACGATAAACAAACATGATCGCTAGCACCTAAGGGAGAGCTGTAAGAGATGTCCCCTACGAAGTCTAGTGACTTGGTAAACACTAGATCCAAAATAGACGGGAGTTGGGCGTCCATGTGCCTAGTGGGGAGGTCCACGAACTGATGCCACTGTATTGGTTGCGTAAGCTCAAGTAGATCTGCACCGAAAGTACCTTCTGCCGAGTAGCAAAAAAGGTCCGCCCAGCAAACTTCTGGTAGATCTAAATCCCCGAGTATCAAACACCTGTTTGCGGATTGGGAGCGAATAAAATCAGGCACCTTTCTGGACGCACTCCCAGGGCTTGTATACACAAGTAGGACTGTAAATTGAGCTGAGAAATTGTTAATCACTACCGACAGCGCTTCGACAGTTTTATCTGCCGACTGCAATATGTAGGTGCGTGAAACGTCAAGTTCAGACCTAACGTAAATAGAAACGCCCCCGCCTTGTCGGCCAACGAAGCGATCACATCTAAATAGTGCGTTGCCAGACAGATGTACTTCACCGTCCGTGATGTCCCGAGACAGCCACGTTTCAGTGAATGCAAGTATATCGGGATGAGATCCATCTACAAGCAGTCCTATCTCGCACATCTTATTCCTTAGGCTCCGCACAATGCTTAGCACTATCTGAAAGTAGTCGTAATGTCCAGCCCTGGATCGTGCGCTAACAGTACTGGCACAGGTAGGGCGGAAACAAACCGCCGGCTGATCACCCAAAAGCTCACCAACCGGAGATCTTGTTCACCGGCCACCCGCCTTGTTTTGAGGTTTTTAATGGCCTCGTTTAGCTTCAGCCCATCCGCTAATGGGAGGTCTGGCTGAACGCTAACATTAGTACCCTTTAATTTGAATGCAAATAGCAACAGTGCGTTGCGTTCCTCCGGGGTGGATAGGACTACCCGTAGTAAGCGCGGTCGAGGGTTTGGGGCGTTAACTGGGACGTTACCCAATCTAGTCAGTTTCCTGACAGTAACACGGGAAACCCAGGCGGGAGAAGCTTTGTTACGCACATCTTAAACCACTGTAGGTCGTCTAATGTATGTTCGGCAGGAATTTCAGCAGTAGATTCCACTGCGTTACAGAATATCACGCTGTATCCATGAAGGAATCACCTCGTCGAGGTGTATTTATCCCACGGGTTTTGGAATTTACATGAACCGCAATCGGCTTAGCCGCAGGAAACGAGACTGGGCACAAGTTAGCAGACGACGTTGAAGCAACTGTAGCGTACGTCTTACGCTTCAGCTTGTTTGTCCCGTCATCCTTGACGCTATTCGAACCTGCCTGAAGAGTACGGACAGCTCTGTTCTGAATTTTCTTTCGTCCTGCAGGCGATAAAGCCCATGGCTCAACGTCCCTGCCTGCCTCCAGGACCTATACCCTTGGAAGACAAGATGTGTTTGGAGTAGACGCCGCAGTTTGAGTACCACGCGATGCGGACGTCTGGGGTTTATTAACCTCTGCCGGCACAATCTTAGGTGAAACTGAGGGAGTCGCATCACCAGGTGGTATTTCCTGCTCAGGTGGTTGCATCTTGAGCGTCTTCTCACCTCTCGGTTTGGATGCGGAGGGTTTGCGCACTTTTCTTGTCCTCTTTCGCCCATTCTTTTCTGGCTCAGGAGTCAGTGACGCCCTTCATTTGTGGAAGGTCAACAATGCCATCCGAGATATATGAGTCGTCCATCTCAATTTGTACTGGAGCGTCCGGTACGATGAACGACAAATCAAGGGATGGACCGTCAGCAGGTAGCAGTTCGCTACAGAGTCCTCCTTTGCAATACTCAGGCGATTCATGATCAAGTCCACTTTAGAGTTGAGCGAGGCAAGCCCGACCAACGCCTTCTCAACCACTGCGAACCTGGATGTCAGTGCCTTAAATTCAGCACAGAAGATAGCCGGGCACTTCGCTTTCTGAGTGCAGCAATCAGCACATCTAAAGAAGAGGTTTTCACTGGATGATAGCATAGTGTACTGGTTCGCTCGGAGGCCGGTGCAACCTGTGTGATACCAGCGGAAGCAAACATCACACTGCATACCACCAGAAGTTTCTGTAAGTGGCCTCGAGCAGGCAGAATTTCCGCAAACTGCAGTGGGCTCATCAATAGAGGACCCAAAGATTTCATCCGCCTCGGATTTTAGCGAGACGACCATGTTTAAAGTGGAAACTGAGCAGAATCGTAAAACACGTATACAACCGTAAAACGACCACAAAAAGCAAAACAGGGCGTGAAACGGGATTAAAATGGGCAACAGCCGCAAAGCTTACCAGTAAGCGTCAAGGAGACGCTATGTCCAGTAGCACTTTAATCGATTTAAGGGATCTTGGATCAGAGAAAATTTGGAAATAGTCAAATTTTGCTTTACATGTTTATTCAAACACAGTTTTCCATAATATTTCAGAGTACTGACATGCTGAAAGCACACTCCGCGGCAGCTGGTGGCTCAGAATGATTTGACTGGTGGTCAGACAACAGTACTCACAGAGTGGCCAAACAAGATAGGGAGACAGTAATTGTGAGCTGAGAAGTATGTCAGTGGGGACGAGAGGCAACACTCAATAAGAGACCGGAACTTTCGATTTCGGTAGGGAGAACGAGCATACAGGAAATTTATCAGACAGAGGCGAGTAGCATGAGGCTGTTACTTATACCAATAAGAACCTTAGTCGATGCTCAAAAAGAGTGAAGGCTTGGTTTGAGACCTGTATTCATTTGAAGTATGAGAGGCCGGACTTGTTCAAAAGTTTTAAGAATGAGTGCCACAGAAGCATTGTTGGCCCTGATTAATCTTTACTGTTATGTCCCCTTTTTCCCTGAACATGCGTATTCTACCGATGCTCTCATTTAATACTTATACCTATATTCAACGACCTGCTTTCCTTGCTTCCTACTACTGTGACCACATTGATCAGGGATAGGCAGACTTATCGGTCTACTCCCGTAACCCGGAGAACATAGATGGCTTTTCGACCTCTTCTGAAGAACGTAAATCTCTTCGGACCTGGATCTAATCTATCCTCGGTTGACCAGTCTTATTTTCCTCACTGCTCCCTGACTTCCGAGACGTTATCAATCGAGGCTCTTCATTCCAAACATTCTGTTCCCTTTATCTCCAGACCTTCCCTTGGCATGCTAACTGGCTTTTCATATAGCCGCTGTCGTTCCTTTTCTTATGACACTCACCTCTGCTATCCACAAGTTAATTTGGCGGCCTAGCTTCATCTTGCTGGCCTGTCCGGACTCGTCTGAACGGTCTCCTGCTTTCTGGCCCACCTCGGACTTCTGAGATCCCAATGACCTAGGCTATGCCGACGTAACGTCCTGCAACCCCCAACTGAAATGCATTGTTGTCCCTGATTAATCCTTATTACTATGTCCCTTTTCTTCGTGTACGTGCCTATTCTGCCGATGCTTTCCTTTATTACTTAGACCTAAATTCTACGGTTCTCACACTTTGAGCCGATATTCTAATCACATCTCAATTGTCTCTTTGCTTCTGACTCTGTGACCTGAATAACCACGGATGGGCAGACTTATCCGTCTGCTCACATAACCCTATGTTTATCGTTGGCTTTTCGACCTCTTCTGAAGAGTATTTTCCTTTTCGCACTCTATTTGCATTAATTTTTCAATTAGACGTAACTCTCTTCGGACCTGGCTCTAACCTATCCTCGGTTGACCAGTCTCATTCTTCTCACTGCTCCCTGACATCCGAGACGTTATCACTTAAGGCTCTACATTCCAAACACTCTGTTCCCTTCATCTCCAGACCTTTCCTTGGCATGCTAAATGGCTCATCATATAGTCACTTTCGTCCCGAAAGCTCCTTTCTTATGACACTCACCTCTGCTATCCACAAGTTAATTTGGCGGCCTAGCTTCATCATGCTGGCCTATCCGGACTCGTCTGAACGGTCTCCTGCTTTGTGACCCACCTCAGACTTCCGAGATCTCAATGGCCTAGGCTCTGCCGACGTAACGTACTGTATCCTTCAACTGAAATGCATTGTTGTCCCTGATTAATCCTTATTACTACGTCCCCTTTCTTCGTGTACGTGCCTATTCTGCCGATGTTTTCCTTACGGTTTTTACTCTTTGAGCTGATTTTCTAATCTCGTCTCAATGGTCTCTTTGTTTCTGACTACTGTGACCTGAATGACCAGGGATGGGCAGACTTATCAGTCTGCTTTTCCTTCTCAGTGGTCTCTTTGCTTTTGACTGCTATGACCCGATTGATCAGCGATAGGCGGAATGGTCTCCTTTTTCTGACCTCTCTCGGGCTTCTGCGATCTCACTGTTCTTGTCACTGCCGACGCAACGCCTTGTTACCCTCACCTCAAGAACGTTGCTGGTCGTGACTAATCGCAATTATCATGTCCCCTCTCATCCTTAACGTGTCCATTTCTGCCGATTCGATCCGACAAAATGCATAGCTTACTATTACGCCTTTCTCCTTATGAGTCGACTTTCTAGTCTGGTCTGAACGACCCACCTTCCGACTTCTGTGACCCTAATGATCAGGGGTCGGCAGACCAAATGGTCTGTTCATACCACGTCGGGAATATCGCTGACTTCTCCACTCATCAATGAAAACTTTTCCTTTTCTCATTTTGTGTGCATTCCTTTTTCCACTGGTCAGGCAACTCTCCGGATCTGGCACTACTCTAGCGGCGTCCGACCAGCCTCCTGCTTTCTGACTACTTCCTTACATTCCAAACATTAACGATCTAGGCTCTGTTGTCCTGGTGCTCTGTCCCCCTTATCCTGAGACCGTTCCTCGGCATGCAACCGCCTTTTCATATAGCCACCTGCTTCCCAAACTGCTTTCTGATGACACTCATTACTTATTCCCACCTTACTTTGGAGACCTAGCTTCAGCTTGCTGACTTACCCGGGTTTGACTGTACGCTCTCCTGCCTTCTGACATCGCTCGGACTTCTGTGATCTAATGATCTAGACTCTGCCGACGAAAGTCTGTTACCCTCACCGCAAGACCACCGCTGGTCATGATTGAACCTTATTATCATGTCCCCTTTTTTCCTTAACATGTCCATTTCTGTTGATGCTCACTGTCAGCACTTAGACTTTACTAATACGACTTTCACCCTACGAGCTGACATTCTGGGCTCGTCTCAACGATCTCGTACCTTCCGACTTCCGTGACCCTAATGAACAGAAACCGTAAGCTCCAACGGTCTGCGCACAGCACCTGGAGCATATCGTTGGCTTTCTTTTTCTTTCTCTTCTCACCCATAGAGCCCTGTTTTCACACTCTAGCCTGACTTTCCTAGTTCTGGCTGTACGGCTCCTGCCTTCTGACCTCTCTCGAACTTCTGAGTTCTAAATGATCTAGTCTCTGCAGGCGCAATGCTCTGTCTCCCCCGTCTCCAGAGCACTGCTGCTCATGATTCATCACTAGTATATCCGCTTTTAGCTTTAACACTTCTATCCTGTTGACGCTCTGTTAACTTTCTGACATTTATAATACGGCTTTCTCTCCATGAGTCGATATCATCATCTCATCTCCATGGTCTCCTGCTTTCCGAATACTGAGCCCATACTTTTGAACCATCGACTGGTCCGAAGGTCTGTTCGCAACACCTCGAGAATTTTGTAGGCTTTTTCACTTCCCACGTGTTCTAGGCTGTGGAGTCACAACACACCCTGTCTCTCAGCCTGAGAGCTTCGTTTGATAGGCTAACGGGCTTTTTATATAGCCTCTGTAGTCCCGCAAATTTACTTTCTCGCGACATTCACTACTGTTATCCCCACTTTAATCTGACTGCCTAGCTACATCTTGCTGACTTATCCAGTCTCATCTAAATGCTCTTTTGCTTTCTGACCCCTCCCCAAACACTCCTGCTTCATCTTCAATCTTTCATTCTTTACTGATCCGTGTTCCGCTCGATTCTCGTCGTATCTCGCCACTTATGATATATGTGTATATGCGATATTTAAATGACAATTACATGCATAGGGGTACAATAGTTCAGGCATGGCCGCAACTGATGGCCTGCATTCCAGATGCATTCCTTTCTTCTGTCTGAGTGGCTGTCTTTTTTCTTTTCCTTTTTCTCCCGAGTCTGTCACAGGTACGGCGACACGCACCCAAGGAATTGTCCTCCGTTTCGACAACAATACAAGGCACACTGTTCCTCCACATGGACATGAGCGGAAAATTATCAACTTTTTTACAACGTACTAACCGGACAAATCAATCAATTCTTCCGCGGCATGAACCACTGAGACCAATTTACCTAACATTACCTCTTCCACATACCTCTTGACTGGAGGACTTTCGACTACGGAAGGCACATTCTCCTGCAAAAACAAAGCTTGAACAATCGGTCATTCTAAGCTCTTCAATCCGCTTTGACCGCTCAAATGGCCGTGGTTACCACAATCTCTAATCAATTTCACTACATACCCGGGTGGATCTGCGATTCTTTCTTCGGAACCTATCCTGTCCTCCAAGACTTCAACATATTTCAACGTATATTCTTCGAGGCTTCACTTGGTTCTGCAGATGATCAACACATCATATCCAGAAAGAATGCTTAGTTCCTGACCTACCGATCTGGAACAGGAGAGGACCCAGGCACGCAATGGCCGCTCACATAGCGCATCAGTCAGCAGAAAAGTGGGACGCAACTGGACTGCGAATAACGGAGCAAAAGAACGTTCAACAAGAACCATAGCCAGTTACAACTTGCCATTCAATGGATTGGCGGCAGTGTTTCAGGACGTGGTGGGTTATCGCCTGGCAAGCGTTCTCCCTATAAAAGCTACAAATGTCCGTTTAACAACACTGCAACGTGGCGAATGTGACTCGCCACCGAATAAAGTCACAGCCCATAACTTCACACTGGCAGCTCAAATAGAATCATCATACTGGATAGCTTGCTCTTCAATTATCTTCCAATGGATCACTCAGGATTCTTTATCTATTATTACTCGAGTTATGACTGCGATATATGGCAGAGCGATTATGTCCAAACAAATGGATCCAGATCCCACTACAACCACCTCGTTCTTTCGCATGTTCACCATCGCACAGTTCCAAGCATGGACATATGAACAATTTTCTACTGTCACTACAGTTCCCATAAAATGGCTGTACAGCTGTACATACCTGATCATGCCTCAATTGGCGTGCCTCGCATAGTCGAGAATAAATATTTATTTATCTATTTAGGCCTAGGATGTTGCGCTGACGCTAGTGTTAACTATACCGCCATTGAACCGATGCGAAATGGACCAAAAGAGAGGCCAAACAAGAGAGGGAAAAGATAATTGTGGGCTGAGAAGCATGATAGTGGAGCAAGAGGCAAAACTCAATCAGAGACCGGAACTTTCGATTACGGTAGGGGGACCAAGCATACAGATAATGTATCAGACGGAGACGAGTATTAGGAGACTGTTACTTATACCAATGAGAACTTTAGCCGATGGCGGCCGATACTCAAAAGAAGAAAGGCCTTGGTTTGAGACCTATGGGCATTAGAAGCATGACAGTCCGGACTAGTCCAAAAGGTTTAAGAATGAGAGGCGAAGTAGGAAAGAAAATCTAGCGAGGCCTGGGTTTTGGTACTGGCGCTATGTGTACTTAGTCCACTATAGTAGAATTGCGATAAGGACCAGAAGGGGTGCCGATTACAATATACACAGAGTTGGGTTAAGCATGAGGGGGAATAGAGTGGGAAAAGATGCGGATAAGGAGGTAAACCTCACCGATCTAGAAGGAACAGTAGGTGAAATATTTGGACCTAAGTGATGGAAGTCTTGAGGCAGTCTCTTTTAGGTAGGGATAGGAAGGACAACAGAGAGCAGACGTGCGAATGATAATGTGTCAGAAACAGCTATACGAGGTTAAAATGAAGAAGAAACTGTTGGAAATAAAGCATTAAAAATGGGAAGTAGGCTAATTCGCTAGAGGTTGTTTGGCCCTGTCTCCCATAGCTCGTCTTCCGTCACTTTGAGGCCTAATAGTTCGAAAACTGTGGTTACTTCGAGGAATCTCCGTATGGCATTGTTGAAGTGTGTACTGATCCTAGATGATCGGATTTGCAGAGGTAATTTGTTCCAAGTGTCGGCGTATCTATAAAGAAAGAAGTTATGGCGTGTGCCACAACCAGCAGCCGGCAGACTGAATGAGATGGTCGCGTTGCGCAGATGAGATCGTGTGTCTCCTTCAGTTCGGAAGTGTCGTGTCAAGTTCATTTCCGGCTTTTGTTGAAGTTTGTATAGAAACGTTAGGTTTATCTTTAGCCTCAGTAGCCACAGCGGGTCCAGTCCCAGTTGTTTGCATCGAGTACGATAGTACAGCATCTTTGAGCCCAGTAGAGGTTTGGTGAATGAAAGCTGTACGTTCTCGATGCCATCCTGACGCACTTGCATGAGTTCGTAAGGACTATAGAGCAGTATTCGAGAATAGGCATAGCGCACGTTTTATACAGTGTCAATCAAGATTCCAAAAGCGACATGGATTTGAAGATATAGCCTATTAACGACCTAGCTTTAGCTGCAATATAGCTTACCTGTTCCGCAAAGTTAAATGTATTGGAGTATCGAACCCCCAAATCACGAACAAAGTGGCTAACGGTAAGAGGAGCGCCATTGTGAGTAAGGGTATTCGGTGGCACGGTGCGTTTATAAGAGAGTGCTGCTTTTTCCTGGGAAAATTAGAGATTCCATATTGCGCACCAGTTTTCTAGTGCCTTAAGGTCCCTTTGTATTGTGGATATATTATCTTTCATATTATCGGAGACGAAAGAAGCTACCACTTTAATGTCGTCCGCAAATAGGTTCCCAGCGGGAGACTTGTAAGATGTCATTGACGTAGCGTAAGAAGAGCATGGGGCCCAGCACACTTCCTTGAAAGACTCCGCTGGCGACCGTTTATTTGGAAGACGTCGTGTCGCCCAGCCACACCGATTGTGTTCGATTTGATAAGTAGGATGCAAACCAGGAGAG